GCCCCGCCGCAGAGCAGCGGCGCGCGCGGCCTGCACGCACCGGCGCGGCCCTGGGAAGCGGCCTGCGACCGCTGGACGCGCTCTGCACTTTGGGCCCTAGCACGGCTCAGCTGTCAGTTCCCGGGGTTGAGGAGCAGGAGCGGCCCCAGAGTCTGTCCAACTGCCCGGACCACTTCCGGCGGCCTCGTAACTCGTAACTCCGGGGCGGCCGACCTGGGCGCGGAGGCCCCCTCGGCTCGCCCGGCTGCCGCGCAGACCCCGACCCCGACCCACTCCCGCTCCCGCTCCCGCTCCCGATCCCGATCCCGGCTGCAGTGGCCCGGGTGGGGCGTCTGGAAGTTTGAGCCTCGCTCTCCCCGAGGCGGATTAAGTAGCCCAAGAAACATTACATTCATGTGAGTAACCTCTGGCAGATGCACTGTTGTTCTGTAGCTGAAAGTCTCACTCTTTAGCTTGGCGGCTGCGCCTTCTGCCGAATCTTCTAGTTGTCTGTTTCTTGGATGCAGGGAAGGGGCAGGGGCCTGAGCTTGGATTCAAGGTCGGGGAGCGCCCAGGACACACACCCGCTCACGCACCTGCTCTTGACCCTGTCAGACAGGGCGGGGTTGTACCGGCAGCGGTGACGGTGGCTGGCTGGCGGTGGTGGCAGGGAGCAGGGCAGGTCGTCCCACGTGCCTCCGGGAGTACAGACCACCCCACTCCTAGGGGAGCACTTGCACCTGGCCGCAAGACTGAGCCTGGCTCCCAAGGCCCTGTGTCCCCAGCGGGGGGCCAGCCTCCCTGTGGGCGGTGCGGCAGCGGCCTGTCCCCGGGCCTGCGGTCTCGGCAGTGCTGGGAAAGACGTGGCTTTGCTGTTTGCTCCCAGCGCATCGCAGCGCGAGTCTCGCCACACTGATGTGCGTGCAGAATTCAAGGTGCCAGGGTCCCAGGCCCCGGCGCCCCAAGACAACTGTCCCCAATGGAGAGGCTGTGCTGAAATTTCCAGCAAGGCCCTTGGGTCATGTCAGTTTCCCCAAAGGGTCAGTTTGGCAGCAGGTGTGGCCTTCACTGCCCTCCTGCAGGGGCAATTCGCTGCTGCTCTACCTGGGGCTTGCTGAGTTCTCGTACATGCCAGTCCTTTGTGTGTGCAGCCACCGAGTCATGACTGAGGCCACGCAGTGAGCCCTAACGTTCCACACCTGTGACAAGGGTGTTGTGTGACACACTCAAGGGACTACTGCTGCAGTGTTAGAGCCGTGTGATCTGCAAGTCCTGACTTCTCTGTGTCTTCCCTCCCCCTTGATTTCGGGCGCTCCAGTCAGGTGCAGTAAAGATTACACACAGGAAGCGCTAAGTGAGTTACTTGTCCTTCACGTCTCTGCGGCTGAGCTGCTTTCACGGCCAGTGGGGCTGAATCAGGATCCACAGCCAGGGCCCTGAGGTGGGCCCAGTTCTGGTAGTTTCCTGCACTGTCACTGGATGACTCCGTGGATTTCAAATAAAATGTGTCTAATGGATTAATGCTTACAAAGTATTCAAACACCGAGGGAAAAAGCAAATTAGACTTCTGTAGAAGGCACCAAAAAACTCATTCTGTGAAGGAAAAAAGGTGGTTTTGCCACCTAAGGCAGCCCTTGGGTGAGGGTGTCGGGCAGTGAACACGTAATCCGCAGAAGACTTCCCACGAGTCCTTGGGCCCATCCTGTACAGACACGCTAGCCGCAGTCCCTGTGAACAGGCAGCCAGTTGCATCCTTGCAGAGCGGCATTGGGTATCTGTGGGTCATCCTGCCCCCGGACCCGAACTGCGCTCCACTTGGAAGAGACATGTCAGTCAGGGGCCTGCAGTTTTGCGAACAGATGGCCTGTAAGGAACATGCATCTGCTCGGTGCCTGCCAGGCCCAGGCCTGTGTGCCGAGGGCGCCTGTGACGCTGGGCTCCGTCCCGCCCACCAGTGGCAGCACAGCAGGCCGCCTCTCTTCTGGGAAGGTCCCGTGGTGACTCATCAGCCTCTTCGTAGTGACTCGGAGCAGCCCAGCCGAGGGCTCCTGTGTGCTCGAGTCTGCTGGGGTGCTTCCCCGTTGACGTCAGTGCTTGCAGGCCCAGGATCTGAGCTGGCCCTCAGCCCCTAGCCCTCGATCACTCCTAAAGTAGACACAGGGCACACTGTTTTGAGCTGTGTGTGTAGCCAGACTTGAATGCGGTTCATATCGCCAGCAGATGCCCCGGCTGCCCGCGCCGCTCGTCCCTTAGGCCTCGGCGGGAGACACAGCAACCGAGAGCGCTGCAGGCAAGAGAGCTGGCTTTGACAAGGCAGTCTGTGTCACGGGCCCCCAGCCCCTTCCGCCGCCACTCACGCAGTGCCGATGAGCAGGCCTGCGCTGACTGCGCGGAGCGCGGTAAGGTGTCGGAGGCCAGGCTGTGAGCTTTGCCTCGACACAGATGCCACTGCTGCCGTAAGTGGCGAGCGCTGTGCACAGGGGAGGCAGACAGACAGCTGCTGCAGGAGCCCGCTGCTTGGGGGCGTTTGTGTCAATTCGGTGGCGCCCGCTGCAGCGGGACAGCTGGGAAGAAGTCCGGTGGTAGTTCCAGAGAAGGGCTCCGTTCTCGGGGGTCTGTGAACTGGGAGTGTGCACAGCCGAGGGCTCACAAACCCCCTCATGGCAGAAGGGCTGTGGTGGTTCCCTGAGGTGAGACGGAGTGCTGAGTGCGGCAGCTGCGCCTTCCCTTCAGGGAAGGCGAGCCACGCGGCCAAGAGCAAAGACAAATGCGACTCAGGCTGCGGACTCGCTCCGTGCCCACAGTTGCCGTGGTTTGCGCTGCTGAGCCTGCTCTCTGCTCGGGCTTTGGGGGCAAAGCCTGACCTGCACTGCAGCCGCCTCCCGCTAACAGCTCCTGGGAAGAGGCCTGTGTCCGTGGCCAGAGTCCCCGCTGCCTCTCTGCTGTGCTGGTGGCAGAGATGTGGGAAGCGGCGCTGCGCCCTTCCCGCGCCACACGGCTAGGGGCGCGGCGCCTCCTGGGCTGCCGGCAGCGGTTCGCCAGGGCGCAGGGCCTGTCCGGGCCCGACACGGCAGCCAGTGCAAAGGGGCTGGATGGAGAGCTGCCATCTGTTCTCACTCATCTCTCAACCACCACGGTCCCGAAAGCCTGTCACAGCGCGACACTCCCCTCCGTCAACCCTCTGGAAACGTGCAGCCACTGTAAGGGACCTAAGTAAACGGGCCTAAAGCAAACGTTTCGCCTCAGTGTAGAGCCCGTCTCTGCACGGGGGGCCCGCCTGCACCGACGTTCACCTGGGGACCCGGCAGGTGGCCCACCAGAGGTGGGCCCTCGCCAGGCTGCTCCTGAGGCTCTGGCTGTGCTCAGTGGTCACCCGGCCGGTCGCCGTGCCCGCGGTGAGTCCTTTCAACCCAAGTCACACGTGTGTCCTGTGCGTGGGCACTGCAGGCTTAGGTGCAGAAAAGCAGGGCTAGGATTGGAAGCCACAGCCCAGCATGGCAGGAGAGGACGCGGGGGCCCCACCCGATCGCCTCTGGGCCCACCGGGAAGGCGTCTACCGCGACGAGCACCAGCGCACGTGGGTGGCTGTCCTGGAGGAGGTAACTGCCGGCTCCCTACTGACGCGCGCTGCTCTCAGCCCCCTGCAGCCGCCGCGATCTGAAGTCCGCTCTTGTTTTCCGTCACTTCTCCCCAGGAGACGAGCTGCCTCAGGGCGCGAGTGAAGCAGGTGCAGGTGCCCTTAGGTGACGCGGCCAGGCCGAGTCACCTCCGCACGTCCCAGCTGCCTCTCATGTGGCAGCTCTACCCCGAGGGGCGCTACATGGACAGCAGCTCTCGCCTGTGGCAGATCCAGCACCACGCCACGGTACGCGGGTGGCCCGGGCACCTTGCGCTGCGCGGTCTCGGCGGCGCCCCTGAACTGTGCTTTCCCCGACAGGTCAGGGGGGTGCGGGAGCTGCTGCTTCGGCTTCTACCCCACGATTAACCCGGTACGTACCCCGCTGCCCGTGCCCCGCCCTGCCCGTGCGCGCCGCTGTGCCCGGCCCCGCGCTGACCGTCCGTCTTCCGCAGGTGCGCGGCCCTGGGAAGATGCGCGCCTCCGCCCCCCGCGCCGGGCCATCGCCTCGCCCCCCACTGCAGTGTACCCAGCGCGGGGCATGGGGGCGGGAGTGGCTTGAACAACTGCTCACGGACACAAGCTTAGGAAGGGTCGTGCAGAGCCCCACAGGCGGGACTGCAGAGAGGGGGCGCGGGCAGAGCGCCAGTCCACGAACACACCCAGTCAGGACACGTAACTTGAAACCGAGCCCTTGGGAGCGCACCACAGAGCCTTCGCTGGACGACACCACTGGGCCTGGGCCCGATGAGTCCCCGACGGTCAGCGCCTGCTGCAGGACAGCCACCCTGCTCGCCAAGGACTGGGTACTGACCTAGAGGAGCGCCCGCAACTCGCCCGCCTTTCCTTCTCCCGGCCCGTGAATGTCTAGGTTTCACTCCTGTTCCCAGCCCGGCCGGCCTAACCCAGGGACCAGAGGCGGGGCAGAAGCTGCCGGCACCGGTGGCACAAGCTGCAAAGGCTCCCGGGCCTTTTCCTTCCCCAAGTTGTGTCTCCGAGTGCCTGGAAGTCGGTGCGCAAACTCGCAAGCACTGGAATCGCTCCTCTGGCTCGAGGTTGCACATAAGCGGGCTCCCGCGAGCGCCGCAGGCCGCCAGCACCTGCCTGGTTCCCAGACCGCGTGGCTGCCTGCTGAGGAAAGTTCTGGGTCCAGTGGTCGGGATGGTTTGAGTCCATGACAAGTGAGCGTTTCCTTTAGGAAGACCCTCGGGCATGACAGCTGCGGCCTTGGACCCCCCAGGGCTTTGGCTTTCGGGTGCGCACACAGGAGAATGGGGGGAGGCTCCAGGGGCTGCCGCGGTAGCCGGGCAGGCGCGGGGCCAGCTGTGGGGGCGCAGGGCTGTGGCGCGGGCGACTCCACCAGCACAATCGCACCGAAGGCTTTTTGGACCACGTCAGCTTGCTTCTGTCTTCCACGCTGAATGAGGCGGAGGCCGTAAAGCTACAGTTGATTACTTGAGTGGGAAGAGAATTTTCAGTGTCATTGTTTTCCAGCAAGTGTGACTGCTTGTCTCAAGAAGTCCGTCTAAAAGGGCTCTAAGATCGTGGTAAACACAAAATAAAAATGTCTCTTTTTGTTTCATTTTAGTTTTCTGGAAATGCCACAGAAGGACCCGTGCCAGAAGCAAGCCTGTGCCATACAGAAATGTTTACAAGGTGGTATTATGCTCAATTTCTACACTATGAACTGAGAGCAAACGTTCATTGTCTTAGCAAAGAATACTGACTCCCCCAGAACGCTGCTGTAACTGTCACCCAAGATGCTGAAAATAAAGTGAGGTGATCTCGGCCTGGGCTTAAGGCCTGCCTCGGCCAGGCTTGCCTGCGCCATCTAGGGCCTGTGGGCGGGGGTGGGGTGGGAGCCACCAGAGGCGTGACCTGAAGCTGAGCAGAGACCGGCTGCGATGGTGGCAGGTGCGAGGGGTCCGGACGGTGCGGGGGTCAGGATGGAAGGGCAGAGCATCATCTCCACAGACCAGGAAGAGGAAGGACTTGTGAGCAAGTGTGTGAATTTTACAACTGGCCACTGTCATTCTCCCCAGCACAAAACCCTGGTTTGTGGACTTCCTCTAACCTATCCCTCCCGTTGGCCCTGAAGGAGGAATACTTTGTAACATCTCTGCTCCCTGGTTTGAAGGGGAAACACAGCTAAGGTGGCACTACCCTAGGGCTGTGCACAGACTGTTTGGCCTCATCCCTGGGGGGGCTAGGAGATGACTGCGCGGCCACCATGTGGAGGTCACAACTGGAGAGCTCTGGACTCAGTTCTTTGCTGTCCAGAGCGAGCCCTGCACAGCGGTGGCGGGCTCAGGACTGGGGCCCAGGGTCGCTGTCCAGGGCCCGGCAGGAAGTAGCCCGGTGGCCAGCAGGCGTCCGCAGTGCCCACAACCCCGTTGCAGCGAGCAGGCCCTGAAGCTCAGGCGTGGGGAAGCCAAAGCAGCAAAGGCCCCGTGGCCAGAACGTGCAGAGGGGCTTCGGGGCCAGCGCCAAGAGGAAGGGGGAGGGGAAGGGTGTGAGAGCCTTTGGCCCTCTGGAAAGCAGCTTCTTGCCGACAAGCCTGGCGCTGCAGTCAGACCACCCGAGCCCCACGCAGGGTGCCTGGGCCTCCAGAGCGCACGACAGAGCGTAACCTTGTCTTTCAGCCAACAGCTATGCGGAGGCCAAGTGCCAGGCTGCGCTCCGGGAACTGCGCCAGTGCTGTGCCCGCCTCCCCAAGGGCAGATCGCTGGTCTGCTCAGGGTTTGAGAGAGAAGAAGAAAGCCTGGCACCAAAGCCACTGCGAAGCGACGTTCTCTGAGAAGTCACAACCGGCCCAAGGCCTCCAGGCCGGCTCCAGCAGCAGCGGGCACCAGACGCACGGCTCAACTAGCCAGTGGCTCCGCCACCTACACAGGGCAGACAGACCCCAAGCAGAATAAACATGCACAACGCAATAAACCCGAGCTGCTAAAATAAACCTGTTAAGCAAAGATTTCGGTTCGTACTTGTGAGACACTGACTTACAAGAACGTGTCTGGTCTCCCCCGGGAGCAAGCCAGGCGTGACACGGTGCCGAGGGCTCTCGGCAGCCCAGGGGCCAGGAATGGGGACCCTCGGCAGGTGGGCGTCCCAGCAAAGGGGCAGGAGCTCAGCTGCCCAGGGGAGGATGGGGCATGGGCAGCTTCCAGGTTGGGGAGCCAGGACACGTGCCCCGGGGAGGGCCCCAGAGGAGACCGCTCACAGCAGTGTGCTCAGAGTCCGAAGCTCCCACCAAGCTGGTTCCAAATGGGGCGCATCCAGCACTCAGGACAGGGTCTCTGCAGCTGCGCCTGCCCAGGCCCTTCATCCCAGGCAGGCAGGCACAGCTGGCACCCGGTGGTGGCCGGTCCTGCAGCCCAGCTTCAGCTGTGCACACACGAGGGTCAAGCTGGTTTAAGACACATTTACGGTGCAGGCAGCTTCTGAGTAGCAAGCAGGGACGTCCCTGCGGAAGGCTGCTCACGACGTTAAGGGGGCAGCTGCAGACGGGCGAGCAGAGGGTGGCCTGGCCTGGCCTGGCCTGGCCTGGCCTGATGAAAAGCAGGTAGTATGTGACCAGGAGTCCGCCCTGCCAGAGACAGGGTTCTCAGGCGTGTTTCTGGCGAAAACCCTACACCCGCTCAGAACGCAGCCGTCTGCCAAGCAGGGGGACCTTGCTTCGGGAGTACCCACGTGCCAGCTTTGAGGCTGTCCCAAACATCTCAGGGGAAGCCGCTCCCTCACTACTACTTTTGGGGTTGGTTGGGGGCCACCGCGCAGGTCACCACCAGGAAATTGCAGCCTGCTCAGGAACTCATTGCTGGGCTGCTGTCTATAAACGTCCTTAGAGTCAAACCCAGCATGCTGAGACGGCAGCAGGTTCTAGAACCGCCACTGAGCATGCCTCACACCCCCACAGATGACTTTTGAGGCAGAGCAGACTTTCTGACAGGTGGCCTAGGACCTTGGGCTGCTGCGGCAGAGTAAGACAGTTGTGTTGCCCTGTTCTGGAAGCTGTTCTGTGAGCTCCAGGTGAGCACATGCCAGGAGAGGAGCTCTACGCTTTCTGGAAAGGGCACCAGTCCGCCTGCGTGAGTCAACCAACGCCGACACGGTCACCTTGCAGGTTAGGCCTCCAAAATAGAAGTTGGGGGCACAGGCCAGCGCATGAGAGCCGGGAGCCACCTCGGGAAATCATCTAGGCCAAGTCTCGTGTGAACAGGAAGACAATTTAATGAAGTGTTTAATAGCGTGTTCACCCCCGTACAGACCGGAATTACACTGAAGGCTCCAACGGACAGTGGCAGCTCCTGGCAGCTGTGGCCTGACAGTGCTCGCGCCGTTGCTTGCGTCTTTCTGCTCAGCTGCTTTGACACACACCGGGGCCGCTTCCCACAGGCGTCTTCAGGCCTGGTGCGCGGCCACACGGTGCCTGGGCCTGCGGCCTAGACCTCACCGGCGAACAGGCCAGGCCTGGCCCCACCGCCTACCCCCAGAGCGTCACACCCTGCTGCCCCCCCCCCCCCCCCGCCTTCTGGGCGAGCGGTCGGCTCAGCAGCGCCGCGATTTCACCACACCAGCAAGAGGCTCTGAGGTTCCGCCCAGAGCTGCCAGGGAACACCGAGGCAGGTCGTCACCGAGTCCCGCCAGGCGGCCCCCACGGGATGGCACATTTTGCCAAGTCCAGAAAGCAAAGATTTGCACATCAATGAGCTGACTGCACAGTTACTCGAAAGTGTGCTTTGTCAAAGGAAGAAAAACAAAAACCACTGTTCTCGCGAAAAACACTGCTCTAACGTTCAGGGCCGCTTCAGATCCGTACATCAGAAATAAGCACCACCACGTGGTTTCTGGAAATCAGGTCCAGAGATGTGCGAAACACGGTGACACAGCACGACAGGCACAAGGGCTGTGGTGACAGCTGTAAAAACAGGCAGCAGTCCCGCGGCGACCGCAGGAGAAACATGCGAACAGGTGAGGTCCAGACAGCGCTACCATCCCTACAGCCGGTACGGCAACCCCGACAAGGGAGCACAGACGCTTACAGGAAGGTCCCTCACACGCGCCAGGCGGGGCCGCGCAGACGTGCGCTCGGCGGCCCCGTCCCGACCCCTCCACAAACCCTTTGCACACTCAACAGGCACCGAGCCACAGGACCCAGGGAGCGCACAAGGCGGCGGGCCACTGCTGCGAGGCGCCCAGACTGTGGGTGTCTGTAGTGTTCAGAGCAGCTCCAAGCGCCGGGAGACAGCAAGTGACATTATCTCCCGAGGGCCACTGGGGCCGCGCACACGCCTGCAGCTGCGGCCTGAAGAGAGCAGCTGGCTCTGGTACTGGGAGCTGCGGCTGCTCGGTGTGTGGACAAGAGGCGAAGACACTTCCCATTTCGAAGCTAAGCCTTTCCTATGGCCGCCTCTTGTGAGCGGCGTGAGCAGCCAGGCGGGACGCGCCACCGGCTGCGGGCGGCCCACATGCCTTCAGTGGGGCCGGCGGCCGCGGGCAACAGCGCTCTCCCGTAGCCTCGAGCCGACTGAACAAAGCGGACACCACAGCAACATCGTTTATGCTTCAAGGCAAGTGTATTCCGCTCCCTCCCGCACACACAAGGCCTCCAGGTGCTGACTTCTCTTCCAAATCACCAGTTCAGGACAACTCTGAGGATCCACTCACCCCCTGCCCCGGCCACCATCTTGCAGCAGTTCTATTCAGCACGTGAATCAGGAGAAAGGAACCCCCTTGCTGACGGAGATTAGCCAGCTGGGGAGTGTGCAGGGAGCAGAGCTGCAGACTACTGTCTCTTCTGCTGTCGACAAGCTCTTGGCTAACCTGCGCCTACGGGTGCCTGCAGGTGCCCCCGACACGCCACGGCAGGGAGGAAGGCTCGGGAAGAGGAGGAGGAGGACAGGCTTCGTGTCCTGCGACGGCGTGAAGAGGCCGCTGGCTGGAGAAGCACAGCAAAACGGGGGCAACGTCGCCCGCCTTAGGAAGCCATGCCAAGCAGAAAGCCTCCGAAAAATCCACCAGTCACCAGAACATTCTTCTTCACAAAAGTCACCACCTGGAAACAGAAGACAGCGTGACGGGCTACTGCACTAAGGGCTCGGCCAGCGGAGCCGCCTGCAGGCCAAGCCCTCACCTGCCCATCGTCGGGGCACTTGACCTGAGCCTGTGGTGGAGGCTTGGGAGAGCTGGGGCCCCCGGAGAGCCAACGCTGCCTGTGGCGCAGATGGCACCGGAAGTGACTGTCTAGGCGGAGCAGCACCCAGCTCTGACGAGCGCGTGCCCAGGGCCGGTGCGCCCACGTGGCCGTGTGCCCCTGCACACACAGCCTGAGTGGGGTTAGCAGGCTCCAGCCACAGCGTGAGGCCAAGCGGCACCGACAGCCGGCCACACGGGCCCTGGCCGGAGGGGCAGCACGTCTCACCTCCTCTGCTTTGCTCTTGACCTCTGTGGGGAGCTGGTTGCTCTTGCGGATCTGCAGCTGCTCCTTGGCTTTCTTCATATCCTTCTCCACGCGCTGCCAATCAACTTTGATGTAGCCAGTATGGTTCGCGAGCTAGAGTTGAACAACAAACAAGTCAGAATGCCTCCCTGTTGTGCGAGCAACAGGCTCGGCGTCAAAGGCTACCTTCCACTTCCGGTTCTTTATGGGACGACGACAGCGTCCACTCAGCACCCACCCTCCATGCCAGGCCCAGGCCTTGGGCTGGAAGTCAACACGTAGCCTCTCGACTAAGCCGCCACGGACATCAGAGCTGGCAGTCGAGTGTGAGGTGATGAGAAGGACTCACGGGCCACCTAGGCCTGAGCTTCCCGACGCCGAGCTCGTCCCTGCCGGGCCTCTCAGACGGGCCCTCCATCCCCAAGGGTAGATAAACCCAGTGAGAACAATTCCACCGAGGAGTGAGCGGGAGGAGACTGACCCACACTCTTCAGTGGACCGGGGTCACCCACAGCTGGTGACAACGACTGCACCACCCGGTCTCCAGCAGGCTCTGGCAGGCCGTGCCTACCGCACAGCTCAAACGCCCGAAGCCAAAACTCGTCCTGCTCATCCCGGAGTCTCTGCTTCAGGAAAGTCGCTGCCAACCAGTCGCTCATCCCCATGGCGGCGCGAGTTCTAGGGGCCACTTCAAGGCTCTGGCAGTGGTGGGTGCGCGGGAGTCACGGCCCTGGGCGGACACGGCCCAGCCAGCATGCCACGCTGCGCACGACCAGCCTCATGAAAGGCAAAGGACAGGTGCCAAGAAATCCGACCACAGGGTGCGGGGGGGTCTTCCTGCGATGTGTGCGGGCAGCCCGAGGCCAAAGAAAGTGGGCGAAGCCAATGGAGGGGAAGGGGCCCTAACGGCCAGCGAGCGCTCCCGAGGGAGGGTGGATTAGCACCATGACCAGCGTGCTTTTAGGACTGGAGGCAAGGACGCCGTCGGGAAGCGTGTGGCCACGGCGGGTAGCTGGGAGCCGGCCCGTGGCAGCGCCGCGTACCACCGGGCGCTCCAAGCAGACCACTAGTGCGGGCGCCACTTGCACTACCCCGCAGCCTGGCCTCGAAGCAGGCGGACTCCGAGCCACCAGTGAAGTGAAGAGGGCCACGAGGGAACACTGGCAGGAGCGCCAGGCCCACGGCCGCATGGGCAGGGCCGCGCGGAGCCTCCGTCCACCGCCAACCGCACCCCAGCGCCGTGCTGGCCAGGCATCGCCGCCAACTCACAGGGCAAGGCAAGGAAGCAAATGACCTCCAGGTTGAAGAGGAAGGGTGGCGCTGCCAGGCACCCCCGGGGTGGCCCTTTCCCACGCACACGTGTGTCTGGCAGGACGCACAGCAGCCCACAGAGCAGTCCCCATGACTGCGGGGCCCGGGGCAGCCCCACCACCCCGCAGGGCAGCAGCAACCCCTCAAGCCCCTGACACCTCGATGCACAGCTCTGCGCATTGCGGTCCCCTCACCCCCGACCGCAGGCATCTCCAAGCCCTTCTCATACTGACCTGCAGGAGAAAAAATCCACCTCCCACAGCAGTCGCAGCCAACTTGCCAACCTTCTGGAATATGAAGCCCGTGCACCTGGGGAAGCAAAGTGCAGGAGGCGGGTCGGTGGCTGGTGTCTGCCCGAGCCGCTCTACTGCGGAGGCTGCAGGGAGGTGGCAGCAGCAGGCAGCAGGAGCGGGCGGTGCAGCTGCCGGGGCAGCGGACCAAGGAGCGCGGCCTGATGGAGGCCAGGGTGGTGGCATCTTGTTCTGCAGGAAAACCAGAGGGAGAGGGGCCCCGGCCGACGGGCTCCTGACGGCCGCCCGCCCCAGGCCTGCGAGGGCAGGGACTCTGTGCTACCCCCGCGGCTCACTGACCCCTCGGCAGCACGCCTTCCCTCTGCTCCCCTGCACAGCCAGGGGCTCCCAGGTCGGCCACTCGCATCTCCGTCCCCACTCCCGCTCTCCCAACCCAATCCAAGAGTTAGGGGAGGGGGTCCCGAAGGAACTCTACAGACGCACATTCTGGGGGCCCCGCCTCCACCCAGAGGCAGAGGGACGCTGGGGCATGAGGGTGGAGTTACGTGTCCGGATCTGATATAAAATCCGCCGTGTGGCCTTTGGGGGTCTCTCGGCTCTCCACTGGCTCTCGGCATGCTACTGGGGTTCCAGGTCGGCGAACGGCTGGGTCCCACTCACCAACATGTGGCTCTGTCTTTCCGAGTTACTCACCCCTCTCTCTTGCACATAAACTCAGGACTGCAGGTGAGCCTTAAGCGCACAGGTGAGGACCACAGTCGGGCCCCCAGTTCACATGGGGTGCCCTGGAACAGAACAAGCCTTAGTCCTGGGACTTCCAGGAAACGATTCTGATGAAGGTTACCAGGTCACTGGTAACCTGCCAGATGCTAACGTTCACTGCGCAGCCTTTGTCTCTTTGACCTATTAGCAGCTTTGACACAGCAGGAACATTCACCCCCAGACAGCTTCTCACTCAGGGCGCACCCACAGGGCGCTCCTCGGCTTCCTCTTCCTGCCCACCAGGTGCCCGCGGCTCCAGCTCCCCTACAGCTGCCGAGCCTGAAAGAGCTGTTCGCTGGCTCTTTGTAGAAAGCTCTGCCGCCCCTGCTCGAAAATGGGAAGGTCACCTCACCTCACCATTCTGCTCACCCCTTCATGCAGGCCAGGAGCGCGACAGCGCGAGGTCCCAGAGGCGAGGAAGCCTCGCGCTGCCTGCAGGAAAGCCGGGTCCGACCTCGGCGCGGGGCCTCGCCTGGGGCTCCCCTGAACCTGGGCGTCTGCTGCACTGACTCCGTGCGCTTGACGTGCCTCCCAAGCAGGCTCCCACCCCAAGGAGGTCCTGGCGCCCAGCGACTGTCAGCACTGCAGCAGGGATCGGCAAGGGTCACAAAACTCAACTGCACGTCTCTGGATGATCGACAGGAAACTAAAACTTGAAAAGCAACGGCAGCACACCATGGAGCGCGGATTCTAGAATTCACACAAACACGTGAAGTAGCTACAACTGTCAAGATGGAGAAAGAACCAAGGTGTAGGCTGACACCACCTGATTCCAGGATTATAGTTACAGTCATCGAGGCACCGGCACCGGCACTGGCTGCAGAAGGCACGCTCCTTGCCGCGGCACGGGCGAAACCACGACGGAGCACGGCCCAAAGCCCCGCACCCACACATCGTCCAGACGAAAACCTCGGTGGCCCCGTGTTATACACATTCGCAGGAACGGTTCCAAAAGGCAGGCGCGGAAGGAGGGAGCAGACGAACCACCTTTGAGCGTCAGAACTCCTGCTCTTCCCAAGACACCGGTAGGCAGAAAGCTGCAGAGCAGCACACTGGCAAGTCACACTCCGAGAGCCGAGCCAGGACAGGGAGCTCCCAGCCCAACAGACAGCACCAAGACACTGCGTGCAGACACGTGGTGGCAGAGCACGCCTCGAGGAGGGCTCGAGCAGCCGTGCCAGGCAGGCAGGGAAGCGTCGCAAGCACAGTGAGACAACAGCTCGCACCCAAGAGGACGGCAGGGACGCCGGACCAGCGGGGCCACGGGCCTCGAGGCGCAGGGCCCTCGCTGCCTGTGAGCTGCGAGACAGGACAGGCACGTCGGGAAAAAGCTCAGACACCCACCTGCCCTACGTGAGAGCAGCGGTCCCAAAGCACATGAACCGCAACCGAGTATGCTGAGTGACAGAAGCCACAAAAGAAGACACAACTATTAACTCCGTGGACGTGGACGCAAGACACTTCTCACGGATGGAGATGGCACTGCCTCAGCTGCGGCTGACGGGGCGGACATGGTGAAAGAGCAAGCTGTCGAGTCTGTGCCTTAAGTACGGCAGCTGATGCGATGTCACTTTGTTTGAGGTTTGTCCCAGCACGTCGCTCAGCAAGAGCGCCAGTGACGGCACCGAAGAGAAAGCCAGGGCCCGGGACGCCAGGACCTGAGGGCTCGGCGTGCCCCACTTCTGGGGGCTGCAGCTGGCACACCCGCGCCCTGGCGGCCGTGAGCTCACCTGCGCTCACTCATTAATGCTCCCGGTGTCAGCGGCTGGGAGAGCAGACGGGACCTTCCATATACACGCTCGTGCGCCCACGAAGCTGTGCCCAGCCATGTCGGGTGGGTGCTGCACTGGGGCAGCTGCCCGAAAGGCCAGGGCGCTGGCTGCTGGGCGGGGGGCGAGGGGGTTCCCGTAACATTCACGCTAAATCTTGGGCAAAGCGCGGAGGCGGGACGTCTCCCACGCCACTCACCAACCAGTCACACCACCGATCAGCAGCTGGGTGGCCACGCTGTACTTCTCGGCAGAGGGCCCCGACTCCTGCCCAAACAGTTTGCGCCACCACGGCTGCTTCTTAGTGAGCTCGGCCAGGTCCAGGGCCTCGAAATTTCCTACAAGAATGAAGACATCGAACAAGAAGTGTTACTTCCAACAACAGTCACCGCAGGCCCCAGTCTTGAGATCCTAGGAGACAGTGGTGCTGAGCCCCTCCAGTGTTACTGTACTGTAAGCCGTCAATTAACTCCGAAGTGCTCACTAGTAGTTTGGAAAATTAGACTCAAATCAATACCTGCTAGAGAAAAATGGCCCTAGCTACTTCAGAGTACTCCAGTTTTCCTGCTCCGATTTAAAAACAACCAAGTGCCGAGCAAGAACTGCTCATAGATCGGAAGGGCCCCCCCCACCCCCGCGCGGCCCTCAGCCGGCCCCCACGCCGGGCAGCCCGCCAGTGCCAGCGAGGTGTGCTGCAGCGAGCAATAAAAATGTCCGTCTAAGTAAGTCCAGAGATGTGGGTGGGAGCAGGACAAAAGGACAAGACGTTACTGATGAAAGCCACTTGATAAGAAACCAAGGTGTGGAGGTCCGAAGATTCCCCCCTCCCCCCACGAGAAAGCGTTTCCCGTCCCGGTTCTCGGCCGGAAGCCACTTCTCTGAAAAGGAAGAGACACGAACTGCCAGCCAACGGCCCTCGGGCCCTCACAGCTGCTTGGCACACTTGCCGCGTGGCCACTCCCTGGGGCGCCCGGCCTTCACAGTCCTCATTCCCACAGCACCGAGGGAAAGGGGCTAAATTCCCCACACAAAAAGGAAAAGCCGCATCACGGAACCACCAAGAAATAAAGAAAACAAGAGCAGAACCGGACATGGTCGAGACGTTGTCACAAACAAGTGTAAGTCAAGGAAACATTCAGGCCACGCGCAGAGCCCCAGAAGAGCCCGAGGGCGAGACAACGTGGCGCTGATGGAAGCGTGACACACTCGGGCAATGTCCTTTACTGGCGACGGCGAGCGGAGGGAACGCGAACACGCACTGCGACGAGACACTGAGACTCCTGGGGAAATCCAACGAGCTTCTAACCTTGGGCCCAGGAGAAGATCGGGGCTGGCTAGGACACGGAAAGGGTACAGGGCAGGGATGAAAATAAACCACGACGTCACGCTCACGCCGAGGAACACTTGCTCCGAGGTCAGCAACACGAGGGACGCGTCACCTCGGCATGCTGCCGGGCACTGCAGGCACTGGCCAGGGGACAGAAGCAAAATGCAGAGCCCAGGAAGGACATGCTGAAACTGCCGGGGCAGGCGGCCTGGCCGCGCGGAAGCTGCCGGGTTAGCTGATGAGTGAAGTCACAGGCTGCAGGACAGCGAGACACTGGCCAAAACAAAGATGGGTGAAAGGAAGCCACGTTCGTTGGCGCTCTCCACCGGCTAAGGTGCGTTTCTGCCCCGCACACCAAGGAAACCAAGAACCGATGCGCGGACACAGGGTGTGGGGACGGGCGCCTGTTCTCCACATACTGATAGGCCCAAGCAGGCCAGTGCAAGGCGACTTTTTATCTAGAAATGACAAGCTGGTTCTAAAATGTAGAGGTGCAAAGGACCTCCATGTAGTCTCCCCGTCACACTACGGCTGCCCGACAAGGCACCCCACAATTTCATGGAGACAAGCGGCCATCTGTGATGCTCAGTCGAGGCAGAGCAGGACGTCAACAGGACACTTCCCCTCACCGCTGCCCTCAGATGGGACACTTACAGGCCGAGTCGAGACTCATGACAGCATCTGCACACACCCGCGCCCTCTCTGCGGGTTACTGAGTGGCAGCTGTGTTAAAGGGCGGGGGGGGGGCGCAGGGCGGGGAGCAGCTGCAGGGCCCCCTAAGACCTGGCTTCACCAACTAACACCCAGCCCCAACAAGAGGCACAGAGACCTCACCTTGGTGCCAAGAAACTGCCCACACAATGCTGGGGGAAAAGAACAAAGTTCGAGGATTTCGCGACAAGTAAAACACGGGGCAATACAGCTCATGAGTGTCAAGACTTGGAAAGCTGTAGAAATGGCCTAAGAAGGCAGGGAGGGTCCAGAAACAGATGCAAACATATGGCCACTTGATTTACAGAAACTTGGCAGCAGGGAATTCGAGCGCAAAGTCCTTCCAACAGGCCTGAAGGGACCAGGCGCTGGTACCAGCAGAGACCCGCAGAAGAGAAACCCCAAAGCAGAAAACAAAGACCATGTTGATCCTTGCCGACAGCGCACACAAAACAGGATTCGAGATCTCAAGTGTGGCTCCAGACCAGGCACACTGAGAACTGGCCCTGCGCGAAGTTTCTCTGATGGTAAGTAAAACAACACTGCTGCGGAGAGCAGGAAGAAGAAAGAATGACCCTTGAGTTTCGTTTTGAGGTAATTTCACGAGGCCCCTCAGTGCATTCGGGAACGCCAGTGCCACTGCACAGCTGCCTAAGCACCCCCAAGTATCAGCGGGTGCAGCCAACCCTCGACTTCGGCCCTGCCACCGCGCACACGCTAAAGGCAGAACTCGAGATGCAGCCACGCGCGGCACAGCCCGTCCCGGCTCCTGCCCCCGCGTGGCAGCCGGCGGCAACCGTCCAGCCAACCTTCCACCCGCCCGCCCTGCTGGCAGGTGGCTCAGGAGCGACTTGGGGGCGGCGCACACAACTTTCTGGGTGCAGCTGTCCCCTAGTGCCGTCCCCGGGCCGTGACCTCACCGAGGGCGGGGAGTGGGGGAGGGCGGGGAGCACAGGCAGTCCTGCCCCCCCCAGAGCCCCGCTCAGACCGGCCCCCAGGGACTGACCGCCAGTCGTGGCGCCCCGCGGGGCCGGCGCAACGCCGCTTCCGCCAACACCGTTTCCAGCGTTGACGTCGCCCCCGCCGGGGGAGGGCGAGGGAACATCCTGGCCGCGCGCCCCGGGCACGCTCCGGCCGC